CCGCCAAGCGGGGCAGTAAAGAACCAAGGAGCCACGCTCGGATTAAGGAACGTGTACGTATCTCCCTTTTCGGCGAAAAGAAGAAAAATGGCTTGAAATTCTGGTCGGTTAGCACATTGATCGCTGCCAGTTGGGACGCTAAGTTCATGAGTTTTTGAATACACTTTCACTTCATTTGTAGCTACCGCGCCGGTAGCATAACAGGTTGTGTGTTCGAAATTGCAGAAGTAACCTCCATCTTTATCAAGTTTACAGCGAGGTGCCATGTCCCCGCTATTACAATACGGAGAAACTATCCCTGATCCATCGGTATCGATGATAGGCTTGCCTGCAGTCATCAGATTAGCAAGTGCCTGGTTTGTATTTTGTGGAGTGACTTGAAGTTTTTCTTTGGAACCTGCGCCCCCTCTCTTATTCACATCTTGATGGCTGAGGACCAACGTGAAAGTAAGGAAGACCAAACATAATACTTTCTTCATCTTGAATCCCTGAAACAAACAAAATCAGCTGGAATTGCAAGGGACGAATTAAGTGTCAGGTGTCTGTAAAATCTATCTCCTCTTTGGTGGTAAAATAACTTCTTAAACTGATACTATAAATTTATAACTAAAAAGGCCTATAGACACTCAATTCTGGTGGCTCTATTGAAAGGCTAATATGAAGTAACTGTTAGTTCACTCAAACGTAGGTAATGTATTTTCTTGGAATCCAGTCTCCCATCCCGCACAAGAATAAATTTTGTTAGTTGTATCCGTTTTCAGCTCGACGGCAAAAATCACTATACCCTAATCAAATATTATGTTTGCTGAAATCTTTCCTGAACTTTAAAGTTACTTCTTTATTAGTAAAACAACTTGTTAAACTGTTACTAATAAATTTGTAAGGCCTATAAGTTACGCAATGAACGAAGTAGACACTCAATTCTGGTGGCTCTATTCACTTCTGAAAGACCCATGGGGCTATGAGGTAAGAGCATAACGGTAACGTATTTTCTTCGGATCCAGTCTGCCATCCCGCACAAGAAAAAAATGTTAGTGAATATTATGTTTGCCGAAATCTTTCTTGAACTTTAAAGCTTTTCTTTTTCTTTCTGTCAGAATATTAACTGCAATTGGCTTCTAAAGTCCACCTATGTTGTGAATTTTCTATTACTGATTGGCCAGATAGAAGCTAAGGGTGTCTATACTTGATTTAACACAACAAAACACAAAGGACTCATAAGAACTGTGGGACACACACTCTAAAGCCAAATGCAATATTCTAAAATGGCCAATTTCTGGTAAAAAAAAATAGTCATTTCAGCAGTGTTTTTTCAACATTTGATATTAATAGTAGGCTTAAAAGTGGTATTATGTAGAATGAAAATTCAAACGTTACCATGCACAGGACTGGTTATAGGTTATAGGTTTTATAGGTTTGCAGTCATTTTAGGCAAAACGTTTTGCAATTTGTCTTTTTTTTTCTCACGCAGTGCCATTAAGCAATGATCGAGGATACTGATTCCAAAAAATGTGCACTGAAACGCACTCAAAATGACCACGGAAATTTCCAACTTCGTTTTAGTAATATTAGAAAATGCAAGATTGAAAGAGGTTTTGTCGGATTACCAAAAATGAAGGTTTCAATTCCAAATACTGCAAATACTCACGTGTACGATTGTAACTCAACATGTCGATTGAAAATTCCACAGTCATGAAAATTTTGCCGTCAGTGTTACACAAACGCAGAAAACGTAAACAGACTCTCCAAAATCATTTCTCAAACGGGCTGTAAATGACTACCATGATAAATAATTTTCAACTCTAACAAGCCAGCTCAGAAATAAACCGTGTTTTTTAATCATAATTTAATTGGTGACATACAGTTCAGACTTGACGCATAAAATATTAAAATCTGACCAATAATGTGTTAAAATGGAATTCACATATACTAATTCCGTG